GGTCAGGTGTACCTTAGTTCTCAAGTTGACATCTTTGTTCTTCAACACTTTAAAAAGGTCTTGTGCAGCAGATTTGCCTAATGCAATATGTTGTTTGATTTCTTGACTGCTGCTTCCATGAGTGTTGATCCAAGAAGAATGAAATCCTAGTCAACTTTAATCTTTTCTCCTTTGATAAGAATGTTGTTTATTGGTCCAGTGGTGAGGATTTTTCTTTACATTGAGATGCAATCCATAATCTTTGCTATTCACCAGTAAATATTTTAAGTCCTCTTCACTTTCAGCAAGCAAGGCTGTATCATCTGCATATCTCAGGTTGTTAATGAGTCTTCCTCCAATCCTGATGCCACATTTTTTCATATAACCCTGTTTCTCAGATTATTTGTGCATCATACATGTTGAATAAGTATGGTCGCCTCTTGTATGGCTCATATTAAGTCTAGAAGAATGACAAAACTGACCATTCCCCTCAATCAGGGTTTCATACACCTTATTTGCATGGTTCCATCCTAACCATGAGATGGATTGGCACAGGGGCAGCAGCAATGGGCTCAAGCATAGAAGCAATTGTGAGGCTGGTACACACTGGGCAGTGTTTCACTCTATTGTACAAAGGGTAGCTAAGGGATAGAACTGAATGAATGGCACCCAACAACAACAACAATCCCCAGCAAGGTGTCAGAAACTTTATCATTACCAAACTATCTAATTCCCTCAGTGGGCCACATATATTTCATTTGCACAGTTCCATGAGAATCCTGTCCTGGTGTGTGTCTCTGTGGGGTTAATAAACTAGACTGCAAGGTTGGTTTGAACCACTTCTGGGAAACCCATTACAAGGTTGTTATGAGTCAGACCAAGTCAATGGCACTTAACAACAACAACATGGGACTGCTAATAACAAGGCTGGCAATTCAAAACCAGCATTCACTTATAAGAAACTTATACAGGGTCACTATGAGTTGGAATCAACTTGACAGCACTTAACAACAACAATCCAGTCATTTGGTGTGAGTTAAGGGAAATGCCAAGGGGCTCTGGTAGCATAGTGGCTACAAATCTGGCCTCGAACCTTAAGGTCAGCAGTTCGAAACTACCAGCTGTTCCATGGGAGAAAGATGAGGCTTTCTGCTCCAGTAAAGATTTATAGCCTTGGAAACCCTGTACAGGGTCGCTATGAGTCGGGACCAACTCCACAGCACATAACCACCACCACCACCATAGCAACTGAAGTCCTGGTGTGGTGCTGTTAATGTTGGTTAATGTTCCAGACTGCAAAGACATTTGAGCTTCAAAACTGGCTGTTCAAGCTTACCACTTGCTCCTTGGAAACCCTATACAGGGTCGCTAGGGGTTGGAACCAATTCAACAACACTAAACAACAAGGGAAATGCCATCTAAAATCAATCTCTCACAATACTCTCACAGATACTTCAGTTCTGACTCTGCGTCCTCTTGTGATTTTAGATACTGACATGACCTCTCAAGGTCACAACTGTACTGTTTTAAGAATGGGGATAAAGCTATCTATTGAATAACATTATTCAAGGAATTATTAGAGTTGGAAGGAGCCTTGGTTGGTACAATGGTTAAGTATAAGGCTGCTAACTGAAAAGTTGGTGATATGAACTTGCTGGGTGCTTTGCAGAAGAAAAGACCTGGGAATCTTCTCTTGTAAAGATTTGTTGTTAGTTCTTAAGTGTCATCAAGTCTGTTCCGACTCATAGCAACCTTATGCACAACAGCAGGAAACACTGCCCAGTCCTGCACCACTTTTACAATTGTTGATATGTTTGATTCCATTATTTTTGCCACTGTGTCAGTCCAAATCTTTGAGGTCTTACTCTTTTTCACTGACTCGCCATTTTAAGAAGCATGACATACTTCTCCAGGAACAGGTCCCTCCTGATAACATGCCCAAAGTATGAGAGACAAAGTCTAGCCATCCTGGCTTCTAAGGAGCATTCTGGCTGTACTTCTTATGGCACACATTTTTATTTGTTCTTCTGGAAGTCCATATTCTTCTCCAACATCATAACTCAAATGTATTGATTCTTTGACCATATTTCTTACTCATTGTGCAAGTTTCACATGCATATGAGGCAATTGAAAATACCATAACTTTGGTTAGGCACACATTAGTCTTCTGATATTTTTGTTCCTTTTGCTCTTTAACACATTAAAGAGGTCTTGTGAAGTAGCGTTGTCTAATGCAACACCTGTCTTTTGATTTCTTGACAGCTGCTACCATGAGTGTTAATTTGGACTGAAGCAAAATGAAGTCTTTGACAACTTCAATCTTTTCTTCATCTATCATGATGCTATTTATTGCTCCAGTTGTAAACATTTTTGTTTTCTTTATATTGAGGTGCACTCCATACTGAAGAATGTAGTATTTGATATCCATTACTAACTAATTTAAGTCCTTTTTACTTCCAGCAAACAAAGTTTATCATCTGTATATTGAAGGTTGTCTATGACTCTTCCTCTAATCCTGATGCCACACTGTTTTACATTGCAGCATCATTATTGTTTTTCATAATACAATTTCTTGGATTATCTGCTTAGCATATGGATTGAATACGTGTTATGAAAAGATACAACCCTGGTATACACCTTTCCTGATTTTAAACCATTCAGTATCCTCTTGTTCTGTTCAAATGACGGCCTCTTGGTCTAAGAACAGGTTCCTCATAAGCACAATTAAGTGTTCTGGAATACCCATTATTTTGCAATCTTCTCCATAGTTTGCCATGATCCATGCAGTGAAAAGTCTTTGCATAATTACTAATGCACAAGCAAACATCTTTCTGGTATTAACTATATTACAGCCTATGAAGTTCTACTCAGTTCTATATAGGGTTACTAGCAGTCACAATTGAAGCACTGACATAACAACTGACATGGAACATTACTGTACATGCAATAATACGTAACAACTTTTGCATGCTTGATATGCATCAGATAGTTGCTAAACTCTTTTATTAACTCATTTAATCTCTAAAACAACCCAATGAAATGGATATTATTAGTATTCTCTATTTTACAGATAAGGAATGAAGGCACAGAGAGCTTTGAAATATCATGCCAAGGTCACGTGCTAGTAATTAACTGAGCAGGAACTCAAACTCTGGCAATCTTGCTCTAGTGTCCATGCTTCTAATGACTTCCCTTTACTGACGCACTCCATCAGAGTAGCTCCTTACGTGCCCATTTCCTTACACCTTGGAGTCTGGCATAAAATAATACAATAATCCTTTATTTCCAATAATAAGTAGCTGTACGTAGGGCACAAGACATACAGAGAAAGAGATAAAAAGCAGTATAGGATGAATATTAAGTACCAGTTGTTGTTGTTAGTTGCTGTTGCCTCAGTTCCAACTCTTAGCAACACTGTATGGCGTTTCCAAGGAGTAGCTGGTGGGTTTAAACTGCCAACCTTGTAGTTGGTAGTTCAGTGCTTATCCTACAGCACCACATCAGGATTTCATAAGTACCAGTAGAAGCGCATAAACCACACATTCTATATAAATTTCTAAGAAAGTAAGATGAATGGGGAAATCAGCAAGGTTTTGTAACATAGGTAAACTTGAAGTAACTAAAACAAGCATGAAAAGTTGGAAAACTTCTTTCAGGTACTGGGACAGCAAGGATCAAAGTTTTCTGTGATCAGGAAGTAAGCATTCGTTTCAGTGGGGAATAAGATTTTCACACAGAAAGAGTAAGACAGAAGTTCTTTTAAAAAACAGCAATAGTAACAACAAAAAACCCCACTTATTACATAGAATGTTTTGAAAGCTCAAGAGAAGAGTGAAGATTTATATTTCTAACTCCTGGAGTTTTCTGAGTGCATATGTGCATACATGCCAAGTTAAACCAAGCAGGGCTTTCTATAGACTGAGCAGTTGGCACGTGTATACATGGATGGGAGAATAGACAGTGAGATCACAGACTACAAGAGCATACAGAAGTTTTCAGTACACATACCTACATTCAGACACTTCCCAATTATTCCAGCGGTGATTATCTGGTTGGTGGATATTCCATGGCCTCTCCTCACCTATGACTGTCCTTTTGGTTGTTCACTGCTTGTTAGCACCTGGTGGTGGACATGGAGGCAAAAGGGATTGTCCAATTAGTCTTTTTTTTTTTTTTTTTAATGTATCTGTTGAGCTGTAGGTTCAGCACTGGTCTGCGAACCACAAGATTGGGAGTTCAAACCCACCACCTGCTCCTCAGAAATCCTACACAGGGTCACTGTGAGTTAGAACAGACTTGACGGCACTTAACAACAACAACAATAAAAGTATCTGTGCATAAAGGTTTGTTGAGAGAAAAGCATACTGTCAATGATCAGATCATGTTGTTCTCTTGGTACTGTCGATTACATTATTAAACAATTTGCTCAAAGGAGCAAGATCTCATTTGAGCTTTAACCGTAAAATATGTAACGGCTACTTCCCTTTGATCCTAGATGGACTTCTAAATTGGTGGCAACTCACATGAACTTTCAAATAATGTTCTTGAAGCAGTGCTTTGTTTTTCATCTGCCTGTTGAGATTTTTAGCTGAGAGTGGCTGCATTTAGTCTACTTAAAACTGCTGCACATTATGTGTCTCTAGACTAATATGTTTTCAAGCCATATGATGATCCATACCAGACATTCTTATCTTTGCTACAACTTGCTTCTTCCTAAGATATATATAGATTATCCAGAGCACTGGGTAATTCTCTAGCTGTAGATTCTATGTTTGGAAGTAACACTAAAGTGCTGTATTAGAAAAACAGAACAAAGAATTTCAAGACGGAGAAAATAAAACAGATTGGAAAACCAATTTTTTTTCCTTTAATTAATATATCATTGTTATCTCAGGCTATTATTAAAAATTCCATGTTATCTAAATAGACTGTAGTATTCTGAGCCCCAAACATTACTATCACTAATATATATTCTTCCATAGCAGTCACAAAGATTATTTACTCCAAAATTGCCAGGGAAATCCATCTTTTACTGGAGCTCATTGTATGCAAATATATTTAGGGTGTAAAGCAAATACGCTTTCATATTTTCACACACATATATACTCTCCTTTCAAAAAATAAAAAAATAAATAAAAGACCTTAAAAATGGATGTCTGGCTAATTGCCAGCTCTTGAATTTATTGTGAGGCCCTCTTCTCTGATGAACACACTTTCATACATTATTTCCAGTTCTTTCATTTGAGTCCTTGTCAACTTTGCATCCTACACCTTACAATCTCAATACTGCCAGCATAGTTCCAGAGAAATCAGAAAATGAGTAAAAAAAAAATGTACATCCAGTGATTTCACTGTATGTGATACATCAGTAATATCCACATGTTAGTCAGAAAACTGGCTCCACAGTTTAGGAGAACTTCTTGGCACGCTCACAGGCCTGCTGACCTCAATATAAAACAAAACAAAACAAAGCCACATCTACTCTACTTCTCAATCAGTTTGATAAGCTTGAATTATTTCTAAGGTTCCTAAATAAGCAGAAAACATTATAATTATGAATAATTAAAATGCTACACTCAAGAGGGCACTCAACATTCATTACACTGTAGAACTTGTCCCCTGAGGGGAGTACCTTCAATTAGTTCAGTTTTCACAACAGAAGAATGTGACAATCAGTAATTGCAGGTGCTTAGTACAAGGAACAAAATGAGCTAACTTGCCTTTAAATCCTACTCTCTCAGCCAGCAGAGGCACTGCTTTCTTTTGGATGCTTAACATTTGTAGCATTTTCAGAATACACAAACATAGCTCATAACAAGAGAATAGGTTGTTTCAGGAGCTAGGAGTAGAGGCACTTCAGTATTATCAGCAATTCTCACTTAGTAGGTTAAAGTAAAAGTTAAGATATAATAATAAATGGTTTTCAGAAAGAGTCCTTTTAACAATAGTTTATAAAATTGATTAATATACTTATACTCAATTTACAAAAAGTTATTAAGTACTTGCTATGTGTTTGCATTTATGAAAATGATACTTACAATACAGATTAAGAACTAGTTGATTGCTTTCCTTTCAAAATAAAATCTTAGATTTACAAAAAAATATAAATTTGTATGCTCTTACAAATATAAAATTTGCAGTAATTATAGCAACAGTTTATAAAAGGAAGCTATCAATAGTGTTATTTCATATTTTTCTTAAAATCATAATACTTGATTTGAATAAAAAAATTATGTCAAATATTATTTAGATTTTTTTCTTTCTTTGACTCTCTTCTACAAAAAAGTATAAACATTAAAAAAAGATAAAGTCCATTTTATTTATAGTAAGAATGGTATTACAATTATTGGGATTTTTCTTTAGTGTTTACAGGACTAGAATATATGTCAAATTGGAGTAGGATTAGCAAATAATATGACAGTATTGGATTTAAGTGACTGTAGTAACACAGATTTTTTGCTCTGATTCGATATAAAATTCACAACCATGACCTAAGCAAGGATTATCTTTTACTAACTGCTACTTCAGGGAGACACACTTAGTCTTTCATTTAAATAGAGTAAAGAGCTTGTTAGAAATGCCATACAATGATTTCAAAATGATAAATCTCAACTACCAATTCCACTTTTAATGATTAGTTGCTGGGCCTTGTATTTAATTAAAATGGTTATTTTAAAAGCTTACATTTAATTTAAACATAATAATTAGCTAAAGTGTACTATTACTGCCTCATCCATTTTGAAATTAATTTATTAAATAGTTCAAAAAGCGCTCTAAAATTATAATATTATAGATTAGAATCTATTTGCATCTGTTGTTTGGTTTCAGTTGTAGACCATAGTGAACTGTTTAGGTGTGACTGCAGGGGGTTATTGCTGTTGTTAAGTGTCATCAAGTGGGTTCCAACTCATAGAAACCCCATATAAGGTTTTTGAGCTGGTGTGTTTGAACTGCTGATTTTATGGTTTGCAGTCCAGTGCTGATCCTACAGTGCCATATCAAGAGTCCAAAAAGTTGTTGTTGTTGATAAGTATTGTCAAGTTGGTTCCGAATCATAGTGAACCTGTTTAGGATTTCCGATGAGTTTGAACAGCCAACCTTGTAGTCCAAACCAAACTAGTGGTCAAGTTCTTAAATTCTGCTGGCTGAGAGAGTTTAAGAACTTGACCATTAGTCACATCAGGACTCCAGAGGGTTGTGCATGGCTAAAACTGGAATTATGATATATACTTTAACCTTTCAGGAAATATAATCCATAGCCAATGAGAAACTTGTCTAAACTTTTAGATCTAAATTTTGTAAATTAATATTGACCTTAGTGTGGCACTGTGGGTTAATGCGTCAGACTGCAAAGTCATTTGAACTGCAAGGTCAGTGGTTCAAGCTCACCAGCCGCTCCTTGGAAACCCCATACAAGGTTGCTATGAGTCGGAATTGACTCAAAGGCACTTAACAACAACAACTGTTTAGTATTTTAAGTCCTCTTCACTTTCAGAAAGCCAGGTTGTATCATCTGTGTATCGCACATTGTTAATGAGTCTTCCTCCAATCCTGATGCCACGTTTTTCTTCATTAACGTAGCTTCTCGGATTATTTGCTCAGCATACAGGTTGAATAAGTATGGTGAAAGAATACAACCCTGTTGCACACATTTCTTAATTTGTAACCATTCAGTGTTCCCATGTTCTGTTCAAACAACTGCCTCTTGGTCCATGTACAGATTCCTCATGAGCACAATTAAGTGTTCTGGAATACTCATACTTCGCAATGTTGTCCATAGCTTATCATGGTCCACACAATCAAAAGCCTTTGCATAGTCAATAAAGCACAGGTAAACATCTTTCTGATATTCTCTGCTTTCAGCCAAGATCCATCGGACATCAGCAATGGCATCTTTTGGTCCAAGTCCTCTTCTGAATCTGGTTTGAACCTCTGAAAGTTCTCTGTCAATGTATGCTTGCAGCCAATTCTGTATTACCTTTACTAAAACTTGACTCACATGGGATATCAAAGAGATTGTCCGATGATTTCTGCATTCCGTTGGGTCACCTCTCTTTGGAATGGGCACACATACGGACCTCTTCCAATCAGGTGGACAGACAGTTGTCTTCCCAATTTCTTGGCAGAGGTGAGTGAATGCCTCCTGTGTCGCCTCAGTTTCTGGAAAGATTTCAATTTTTATTCCATCATTTCCTGGTGCCTCGTTCTTTGCCAATTCCTTCAACGTATCTTGGACTTCTTCCTTCAGTATCATTGGCTCTTGATCATATGCTACCTCTTGAAATTGTTGAACATCACCCATTTCCTTTTGGTACAGGGACTCTATGTATTCCTTCCATCTTCTCTTGATGCTTTCTGCGTCATTCAATAATTTGCCCAGAGAATCCTTCAATAACGAAAGTCGAGGCTTGAGTTTTTGTTTCAGTTTCCCCAGCTTGAGAAATGCTGAGTGTGCTCTTCCATTTTTGGTTTTCTGATTCCAGATCTTTGCACAAATTTCGTCTCTCAAACTTTGGACCTATTGTCAGGAGGGACCAGTCGCTGGAGAAGGATATCATATTTGGTAAGGTGGAGGGTCAGAGAAAAAGAGGAAGACCTCTCCCAGAGAGATGGATTGGCAAAGTGGCAGCATTAATGGGCTCAAGCATGGCAACAATTGTGAGGTTGGCCCAGGACCAGCAGTGTTTCATTCTGTTGTGCATAGGGTCGCTATGAGTCAGTACCGACTCAATGGTGCCTTACAACAACAACTGTTTAGTAGATGATTTGGGAGTATGTAACACTCAGTGTAGTGAACCTTTTTTGTGTGTTATTTCGATAAATTTAACCAGAATGTGTTTTCAATCAAATTTGATTTTTCTTCTACTTTAACAAACAGCATGGTCTATACACTAAAGTCTTTAGACAGTCAGTAGTAATGTAAAGTCATTTTTCTGAAGACATTCTAAAATACAACAGGCTTCTGGTGGATGGAGTGAGAGACTGTATCCAGGAATATTCACTAATGTTGTTGTTGGGCAAAACTACTAAACTGTGCACATTCGTCTATGAAAAACATCTGCCACAATTTATTGTTGTTGCTGTTAGGTGCCATCGAGTCAGTTCCAACTCCATCAACTC